TATGCGCACGGTCATCTTAAGTCAGTACAGTTGTATGTGTGCTGCTAGGAAGGCCGTTAGTTCTCATAGATCCCAGCTTGACTCTGCTGTCCGCTGTTCTAACGAATTCTTATAGGTGGTTACTACCTACAGTGCTTCCACTCATGGGGGTGGCAGGTTATTCCATTACATCATTATGGCTTTAGTTATCTATTGACTGCTTTTTGGCAGAAGTTTTTGCTAACTGGAAAGATATGATAAATTCATATAATTTTCTCATTGTTTTTGTTATATTATCTATCTGTTAATTTATCTCTCTATCTAGGGCTTGTTGTGACATCACTGATTGAACCCTGGACAACTAGCAATGTGTAATGAGTCATAATTCCAGTTGTTTCAGGTTGATGGTGGTGAGAACCAGATGAGGCCATGGGTCTTAATTATCATTTGGGCACCATGCAAGGTAATGGTGGTTCCATTATGATCTCTGGGTGTTTATGTGGCATGGAATGGGTCTGCTGATCCACCAAAATACATTGTTAACTGGTAACCACTATGTTGCACTGCTTTCTTGCTGCATGTATCTCAACAAAAAGCAAGATAATGTGCAATGTCATCAGTTGCCCCTGTTGCCCAAAATTGATTTAAGGAATATTCTAGAGTTTTCTAACAAATTGTATAGCCACCATAATCACCTGACATGATTCCATTTGAGAATTTATAGCACATGGTTGAGAGTTCCCTTCACACACAAGATCTTGTATCAACAAATATCAAGAAGCTGTGGAGAACTATTGAGACAGCATGGTACAACATTTCTCCAGAAATCTTTTCTCCAGAAATCTTCAAACCACATGTAGAATTAAGGACATGTCAAGTTGCTGCTCTTCCCCAGGCTAGAAAGGGTCCTATATAATATCATAACCTTTGACGTGTGTATGTGCATGAATAGTAAAACCTCACCATAGACAGTATCATCAAACATGTGGAGTTCATCTTCAATGAATCACCAGACAGAGTTGGCCCATTTGCCAAAATATTAATTTTCCAAACTTTTAGAAATTATTGAATTAAAATGTCCTTAAAACCATAAAAGTCTGGGTCATCATATCCTGAGGGGAAAAGCTCAAATTAATAAAATGTTTCATTCATTCACTAATGAAATGTTTGTATTTTATTCATTAAATTTTTACAGCTGGTTTGTAGCTAAGTCAATTATTTCTCAGAGAGGGAGGGAGGGAGGGAGGAGGGAGGGAGGGAGGGAGGGAGGGAAGGTGCATTCTCTGTGTTATCAAATAAGCTTATAATATATCATAAATTTTTTTCAGCATGCCTAACCGAGCGAAATCTGCAGGGAACCTCAGATTACAAGATCTTACTGTATTTATGTACAAGCAGGTATAATCATTAATATATTCTTAATTTCTTCATGACAAAGATAAAGATTTAACAATGCATTGAGAATATCCTTAATTTTTTTTTTTAATCATTTCACCCCAAGCAAGGCAATAATTTCACTAGGACGAAAGGGGTTACTGAGAGTGAAAGAGTGAGAAGACAGAAATGAGGAGAAAAAGGACAATAAAATAACAGAATTCAGAATGCTGATTGGCACTGCATTTAAATTTTTGAAGATTTTAGGTGACAGAGAAAGAAGAAATTGGAAGAGAATACTGCAAATGAGAACAGTGATGAAAGAAACCATTAGGATAGAACATATGGTTGTATCTACCTTGTTCAGCTGCAAAACTGTGAGGCATTGTTGTCAATCTAGTAACATGCTTAAATTCATACAGTCAAGGCAGCAAGGAGGAAAGCTTATCAAAACAACTGCCATTATTCGCAGAAAAGACAGAGAAACCATATCATGCTGGTGAGAAAGTGACTGAAGTTGAGATGTCAGATCAAGGATCAATTACATTATGATGAATAATAGGAATGCCAGAACAGGTCAGTAAGCATGTTATTTTTTTTTAATCATTTTACGCTAAGGAAGGAAATAAAACCAGTAAAATGCAAGGGGTTATTGAGTAAGAGAGAATATGAGAAAAAATAGTATTAGAGAGAGAGAGAATGATGAAAGAACAGGAATTAAGAAAACAGAAAATAATTGTTGACATTGCATTTAAATTTTTAAAGATCAAAGTCGACTGAGAAGCAAGAAGCTGGAAGAGTGTTCCATAAGCAACAAGAGGCAAGACAAGAAATTACAGTTACATCTAGCCATTTCAACTGTAAAATGACAAGACCTTGCAACCAATCTAATTCTGTATTTAAATTTATAAAGTCTAGGTAACACAGGAAAATTGATCTAAATAATTTAATAACTCATATTTTTAAATTTCTTGTACCATAATTGGGCACTCTTTTAGAAGTATTTTCTGCTTTCTTACCATAGATCTTATTTAATACAATACCTTTACTTGCCTCAATATTCCATGAATTTATGATTCTATATATGTACAAACAAGTTTTCATATATATATATATATATATATATATATATATATATATGCAATTTCATGATGATCAAGTTTCTTTTATAACTTTCACTGTCTATAGAAACTGGTGTTATTCTCACAGGAAAAATATCAGAAAAGCAATCAAATATCTATTCATTGAAATAAATTCATTTAAAAAAAATAAAAAAAACAAACCACTTAATTACTCTATAATATGTCTATTTGTTTTCATAGATTGATGTCTTGAAAACATATTTGTATATATGTATCAGTAATTTAACATTGGTGAGTATATATGCAAGTTTGCATGTTGATCAAAACATGCACTTGTTTACTTATCATTGTGTCTATATAGATGACAATGGTCATATTTCTTCTTTTTTTTTCACACACTTGTTTATTTCCTAAACAAATGAATTCATTTTTTTTTCAAAAAACCACTGATAATTAAGTTATAAAATGACTGACCATTATTATCAAGGTCAATTAGAACTTCAAAGTTTGACCTTTTTAACTTAATGATGATCATGAATTTCTTCTTTTTAAAACTTTGTCTATGCATTAAATTTGTAGCTAAATATTTGTTCACAGTAAAGCAAATAAAAATTAATTCATATTTGATGAAATTAGTAGGATAATTTGGGATTCTACTGGGGTGAATTTTGATGCACAAATTTTCAGTACAGTAAGGAATACATTGGAATGTTATGGTGTGCTGTAATGGAAAATGGCTCAGCATTAGAAATCAGAGAGCTGAGTTTGAATTCCAGTTAGGTTTTTTACATTCACTTGCACACAAATACCCTTGAGAAAGGTATAAATCCATCTCTTCATTATCCAACTATGCGTTGGATAGTAGGGTAGACTGGGTTTGATAGCCTTGGTTAACAAGCAGCCTACTGCAGGGAAATCTTCTGCTTAGTCAGTTATGAATCAAAAGAGATATGATTGCCCAGGTGTGTATCATGTATGGGATTTAACTGATGAACAGAAGCATACTGGATGCTTAGAAACAAAGGACTTGCTATAGAATCAGCAAATGTTCTTTTCTATTTGTCATTTAAGCTGCTTAAACTGGAAAAGAATCCAATAATTTGGCCCTTGTAATTATATTTCATCATATATTTGAATATATACATGAATTTGATTAATATATACATATATATACATGCAAAAATGTTTAATATTTAAAAATGACTAAACTAATTCAATTTCTTTTTTTTCAGGTTTGAGATAAGAGGTTTAACTGCCTTGACACCATTTGTTATAAGAATCACTGAAAAGCCCTTGGAGTTATTCAGCTAGAAAGAGAACAGGTTAAAATCATTTTGTATCAGCCCCATTGTCTTCTCAACTGAGCAATGGTGAGAGGAAAAAATCGGTAATGGCATTCAGTAATGGTACCAACATTTATACTCTGGCTTCCATCTTTAAAGTCCATTCAAGAACCATCAAGAGAATTGTGAATAAGCTTAAGAAAGAGGGAACAGGAGAGACGAAAACTGGATCTGGAGGTCACAACAGGAAGAGGGATCATCATATCAACTTAGACCTAAAGAGATGATTTAGTAAAGATCCAACTCAATTCATAAGACGTTTGGCATGGCAGAGAGGAGTTTCACCTATAAAAGTCCAAAGAGCAGTGAAAAAAAAGACTGAAAATGAAATCCTACATGAAACGTGTGATGCACCTTGTTACTCTAGAACAGAAAGTTAGAAGGTCAGAGAGGGTGAAGATCATCTTAAATAAGTTGGAAATCGATCCTGGAATAATATATATATTTGAACTTTATTGCAATCCTTCATGAGCTTTCAATCTTTAGCTATGATTAATTAATGAACATGTCATTTTCGTTTATGATTGATTTCATCACTATTCTGCTGTTAAGCTTAGAGAGGAATTATACATTCTTATTGCTCTAGGTAGAGTCCAATAGTGTTATAAAAAACTTGGAGAATTCCAGTAAGATATCTTTAATCATTTCTAAGATACAATGATTCAAAGCTTAGTCAAATAATTGGACAATTTTGCTGTTACACCCAGTATATATATATATATATATATATATATATATATACACACACACACACACACTTATTGGGTATACTTTGGTAGCAACTTGCAAACATTGCTTATAAAAAGAATAGACTTTTTAAGTTTTAAATTTATTTTTTCTAGAATTTGAATACAATTTCAAAAACATAGCTGCTGTTCTAATAACCAAAATTTATGTTGTGTCCAATCTTTCAAATCAAATGAGTTATCATCAGGGGTGTGAATAAATAAATGATCGATTGTTTTTTATGGGTTATCAATCTTTTGCCGATTATTTAAAGCAAGAACATTTTTTTTAGATTGTAAGCATTTTTTTGAGATGATAATGATTTTATTGATTCAAGTCCTATGAATTAATCCATAGCTGAATTGAGAAGAGGGGAACTCATACCTTTCCTTAGGGTATTTGTGCACAAGTGAATATAATGAACCTGACTGGAATTGGAAATTGGACAGCTAAGTTCAAATTTGTTAGCCATTACACCATCTACACATCCAAGATTATAGCACTTGATATTCCCAGCTGGTCACCCATCTAGGTACTGACGAAGTTCAATGTTACTTAACTTTGGTGATCGTATGAAAACCAGTGTTTCACTGTGATATGGCCATAAGCCATGAGTAAGTAAACAGAAAAGTAAATCAAATGTACTTTAAGCAGTTCATTGTTTTAAAAGTGTCATTAATTTTTTTTTTTTGCCAAGTAAGTCTAATGCAGCAAAGTGCAGCTAGTCATGCGTTAGCATTGTGTAATTACATAGTTTCCTATTTTTATATGCATTTAACAGTATAGGGTCTTAGATATTTATGATGTGCCTTCAACTTGTTGATATGTAGGACCTTCTGATCAAACAAAGCCTGAATAGTGGTAGATGTAAATAAAAAAAATATACTGTTTAATAATAAAGACATATCATCTACTCAAATATGAGTATCCATTTAAAAATAACATTTAAACAAATGAATTAAAAATGTCGCATTTAATTGATTTCCTAAAAAATTATCTTTGTTTACATAACAGAGCAGATATGTATATTTTAAGAATCAGAAAGGATGTGTTCAAAAGCATCATACCGGCTTTGTTTGATCAGGAGGTCTTACATGGCTGAGTGCTCTAAGGCAAATCAGATCTAGAGGATGCAAGTTCGAATCCTGCCAGAGGGTGCTTATTTTTCTAAAAACAGTTCTCAAATAGTAGATGTAAATAAATAAATATACTGGTATACTGCTGATATATAAATAAAAACAGAGGATCTATTCAATATGAGTATTCATTAATAAAATGTTTAAACAACTAAATTAAAGATATGTTGCATTTAATTGATTTCCAAAAATATGTTCTTTATTTATATTAGGATATGAAACAGCAGATATATATATATATTTTGAGAATCAGGAAAGATGTTTTCAAAACACGATTCAGGCCTTGTTTGATCAAATATATATATATATATATATATATATATATATATATATATATATATATATATATATATATAACAACATGCTATGCCTTCTTGATCTCATGTTTTCCACTGACATTAAGTGGAGTGCTTATATCAAATCAATAACTTAGTCTACTGCAAGTTGGGTCACTGTCTCGTACCAGAAAATTTTTCTTGTCAGAATTTATCTTGCACATTTACAAATCTACCATTTGTCAATGCACTGAACACTCTTGCCATATTAGCTCTGGTGCTCCTGCTGTACATTTTGAGATTTTGGGCTAAATGCAAAGAAGAATCTGTACCCTAATCGATCCAGACTGGACATCTCAACTGCTGTCATTTTCTCACTGAATGGATGTGGCTTCCCTCTGTCTTTTCTACAAATATTTTTATGGCAGCTGCTCTGATAAGCATTTTGTCCTGGTGCACTGATTCCATAAATTTAAGCATACTACTAGATTGGCATCTAGGCCCCACTCTATTCCTTATCTGACACCATAAATTCCCAAGTTGGCATCTACGCGGATGACACCACAATTTACTCCTGCCACAAAAACAAATCTAAGTGTCACTGACAAAACTAACCTGGCCATGCATCTCAAAAAGGACCTCCAATTGGTTGTGAACCGGGGCAGGACTTGGCTGGTCAACTTTAATGCCTCAAAAACAAAACTGCTCTCTATTAATCACCACAGAGATCCTTCCCTGCCCTCCATTAGAATGTCTGACGCTCAACTGCTCGAGAGCACCTCTCTGCGACTGCTCAGTCTCACGTTGACTGCTGACCTGAGATGGAACAAATACATTGAGTCAATTGCTTCGTCAACAGCAAGGAAAGTTGGTCCCCTGTGACGCACCAGGAAATTTTTCTCCCCAGAATCGATACTTCAGATCTACAAATCAACAATTCACCCTTGCATGGAGTATTGCTGCCATATATGGTCTGGAGCCCCTTCAGTTTGCCTCAGGGTTCTTGATAAGCTCCAGAGGCGGATATGCAATATAATTGACCCTGTTCTGGCATCTCGTCTACAGTCACTCTCTCACATACGAGCCATCGCCTCTCTGTCTTTTTACAAATACTTTCATGATAAATGCTCCAAGGAGCTGCTTTCACTGGTTCCCAGACTTCATGAATTCAAGCGCCCTATGAGACTGGCATCCCGCTCTCACCCTTTCACTGTCAAAACTACTAAATGTAGCCGTCTCTTCTACTCAAATAGCTTCATGTCTTGCACATCTCACCTGTGGAACTCCCTTCCCTATTCCTGTTTCCCTGAGAGCTATAATCTCCAACTATTCAAATGTAATGTCAATCAATATCTGCAGTTGTCTTGATCTATCCACTATCCCTCTCCTCATCCTTTCCTCTATCTCTCCAATCTGATCTTGCTCCAAATCTTCTGTACTCCCTTGCATCCTAGTGGCTTCCCGCCTTGCTTAGGATGAAACGCTTAAAAAAAAAAAAAAAAAAAAAACTGCATATAGATAATGTGTTACTACAAAGTTTGAATATACAGGTGCTGTAATGTTTAGTGGCTTAGAATGAGAAATCAGTGAGCTGAGTTCAAATACTGCTGGAATAAATTACATTCACTTTTGCAGAAACACTCTTTCAAAAGGTATGACTCCATCTCTTCTCTTCCCAGCTATGGGTTAAATAGCAGGGCAGACTAGGCTCTCTAGCTATAGTTAGTAACCAGTCTAAAAGAAAGACAACTGTGAATTCAAAACTGAATATATCCCTGGCAAAGTACAGACTATGTAGCCAATGAAAGGATCATGGAATACACAGTGACTTTATGATATCAATTGTGGTCAGTGTGATAGATAGACTGGAGCATTCCCAAAGTAAAATTTCATGGTAGTGTCTATAATTGATTCTAATCATGTGTTAGAGATGTCGAATTATTTGATGATGGTCCTCATGGATGAATTCACAAATTTCATCCACATTTTCTTCCATTTTGCCGAGATGTAGTTGACCTGAATGTTCATCAGATTGAACCAACACTTAAGCAACCTTGAAATGCAAAGGACAATCAGAAACTTGTGTTCAACCTAGAGGATATTCACCAAAAGCCTAAAAAAACATGTTGAGGATCTTGACCACAGATTTGTAAAGATTGACATAAAATCTAATGCAAGCAGAAATTTGTTAGTCATTTTAAAGTTTTCAGAACTCTTCTAATACAATATTACAAAACATTGCATAACAACTGAACAGAAATAGATAGCATTTTGTACAATTGCAGCATGTAGAGTCTTGGAACTTTCCAATACTACCTTATATAATGCATTATAGAACGTATATACATATAGACACACAATGTCTGTAGACTAATCAGGAAAACGTCATTTATGTTATATAACAAATATGTATGTTAACATTAAGTATTTGTAACATAATTTCATTCTATCAGAGCTTTTGAAATGAAGATTTATCATCATTATATACTTTGCTATTTGAACCAGCGAGTTCATCTTAGTTGTTATAATCACAACATTTTGGCCAATGTGCACTCCAACCCTCTTCAGGTATTTGCCTTTATACTCAGTAATCTTCTTGGAATTTTAAATGAAAACCTTTATTCAATCCACAAGATTAGATTGTTCTCATTCCATTGTCCATGTTTAGAGAACATTCAATAACAGTCTCCAGTTTTGTTCCCATTTGTGTCACTTGAACAATAATATGTGACCTTTCAGCACTACCAGACACATAAATAAGTAAAATGAATGAATTGAAACTAACAAATAATCATTAAATTAAGTAAATAATAGACAAATTAACAAACTACAAACACTCACATAAAAACAAGTAAATGTAATAATAACAACCAACAACAAATAATAAAATAATCAATAATAAATACAAAAGTTGACAAACAATACTATAAAATAACCACAAAACTGCATCTGGATCCACAATTATTTCCACTCAATAGGCCCTAGAATAATTTGAAACATAACAGTTACCACAAAAATACCCACTCACTGAAATAACTGTTAGAATAATACAATAGACCTACCCATACTGCACCACTGAGCAGCATATATAAATAGTCTGGCCATAACAGAACAAACATGATCTGATGATTGCATTTAAGCATGAAACAGACTGGGTGTTAATACAATGTACACTTTTATATTTACATATGCTCTATCTCTGATATTGAGCAATTTAACTCATAAGTATAGCATACCTTAAAACTATATATATATATATATATATATATATATATATATATATATATATATATCCATGTATAAATCTGGCTAATTGCATATTAATACCCATAAATCTGGAAGCAGAAATTTAAACAGGTATATATTTGAATTTGGAATTATGCAAAAAATACTTAGTTCTGATAAATATATTATAACACTTTACTATATTGCTAACTTATCAAATCCATATTTAATGAATCTAAAATATATTTAACTCCAACCACAACCAGTGTAACAAATTCCTTCACACAAAACATCCTCAAATCAACATGCAAACAACCACCAAACATGGATAAAAATGCCTACAACAGAGACACACACACATGCATGCACAAACAGATACATATTATCATCCAAATCCCACATAGAAAAAAATAGAATCATGATACATATACACACATGAATTATAGACTAGAATGCTGCTTCAGGTCTGCTTAAACAATGGTAAATAAACAACACAAAAATAAAAATACCAGAATTTTCTATTCTCCTCCGTGATTATCTGATGAAGCTTAAATAAAAGTGAAACATGTTAAATTTGTAAACCTTTCCTATTCGTTCCTCATTCAATCAAATATATGTGTGTGTGTGTGTGTGTGTGTGTGTGTGTGTGTGAGTGAGTGCAAACATAAATAAATAAATATACAACAATGCAGGTCTGTTTGTCATTTTCTCAGTATTTTTATGATTACAATATATACTCATGTGTAAGACGACTTCATGTATAGTATGGCCCCTGAATTTTTTTAATTAATTTTAACCCTTCTAGAACAAATTTACCTGTGTATAGTGCAGCTGGTTACCGAAAATGCATGAGTTTTAAACTCTTCAAAAAAAATTACCTGTATATAGGTAATATTACCTATTTTTTTTTACATCAAAAACTGATTATAAAAAACTCATGATATACTTTTATAAAGGTATATATATATATA